TGATGATGACGCTCAACCCCCACCAGAACATCACACCGTGCGATAAACACCCGGTGACACAAATTGTAACCATTCGGATGAGGATCACCCGAGGACGGGTCCCAGAAACCCCATTCAAACCGTAGGTTGAGTAGGGCCCTCGGCAACACCAAGAGTGGAGTTTTAAAAAACAATAACAAATTGCGCCCGACATTGGGACGCATGGGGTTTCTCCTTTTCTCTTTGCTGACATTTTTCACAACGTAACATAGGCGTTAATCTACTAGGGTCGTGGAGGTGTACGGACGGAACCACTAGCGCACAAATCCCGTCATCATCAGCTTTTTAAACAAATTTATGATAGTTTAGTCTTGATGCTGTCATTCCAAGTTCTCCTTTGTCTTTTTTTTTCTTTGACTATTCCCCGATGTTCTTTGAAGAACTGTCTTTGCAATCGAATCATGTCTCACCATGTTCTCGATCTAAACTAGCATACAAAGTTTCTCCACTGCCGAAAGAGGCGTCTTGTGTGCTGCAAATATGCTTATTGTGTCTCTTACATATTAGTTCAACCGCTCATGTTGTCCATGTTTCATTCTCTCCTCTCTGGAAACGGCGAACTGACTAATTCTTTGAATTCAAGTGGCGGGAATTTTCTCTTAAGTGACGAACAAAGTTGAAAACAAGGGACAACAAAAGCCTAGAGAATGTCATTTCATGGACTGCATTATCAACGTAGAGATAAAAATAATAGGATCCATTACCGCCAGTTTGCCGAGTCGATCTGATGGTCTGAGCTGATCGGAAGTCCTGATCGGATTTGCGCGTTTATTTCACAGTGTCAACGAAAATTTGTTTTTCACAGCGACAGGGTTTAATTTCACAGTGAAAGTGTTTATTTCATAGCGACAGTGGTTATTTCACGTCGAGAGTTTATGTCATAGCGATGGTCTTTATTTGAAAGCTAGAGTGCAAGTGTTTACTTCACATCGACAATGTTTATTCTAGAGCAACAATGTTTATTTCACATCAACAATGTTTATTTCACATCAACAATGTTTATTTCACATCGACAATGTTTATTTCACATCGACAATGTTTATTTCACATCGACAATGTTTATTTCACATCGACAATGTTTATTTCACATCGACAATGTTAATTTCACATGAACAATGTTTTTTTTTTTCAAATCGACAATGTTTATTTCAAATCGACAATGTTTTTTTCACATCGATAATGTTCATTTCTCAGTGACAACTGATGACAGTGATTTCAGGACTCACGTGCTTAATCATCGCGTTTATCCCTTTCTTCCTTTTCGTTCATCAAAATGACTATTGCGTTGTGTCTGTTTGCAGCATCGCTGCGGTATTTGTGACTTTCGACCGACATCGGGTATTTATCCCTTGGGTTAGCCTTTTTATGCATTTATCTCATTGTTGTAAAGACCTTTTCCCCCTGTGGGTTCAGAGGCCCTATTGTGGGGGAAAGCCGGAAGAGACCCACTGCCTATCCATAAGCATGTCGTAAGAATCGACTAACTGGGAGCTTCCTTCGAAGTAGGAGTGCATCTGTCTGGGAGGCAAGGAACCAGTAGTCTGCATATAAATATGTCAGATCCGTAAAACGGATGATACGCACAGCACTCGGGTTCTGGAACAGGACTGCAGCCCAGAAGTTTATGAACAACGAAAACGTTCCGCTAGAGTATACAGCTGGTGAAGGCGAAGAAAAAGAAGAGTAAAGACATTTTCCATGTCAGTGTCTCATCCAGCATATATTGGTTGACTTGCATTAATAAGACAAATCAGCTCCTAATTAGGGTGACCATAATATCGTGAAAGAAATCGCGGTGGCAGAGCGGCTAGACGCTAACCTGCGGATTGGAAGGTCATTCGCTCGCTCCCTGGCAGAGCCGGACATTTTCAAAACAACGTTGGTTCCCAGGTCGACCCAGCCTTGAGTGGGCACCGGGTGCAGTCCCGGGAAGTAAAGGCGGCCGACGTGATACTGACCACATCAACCATATTGTACCGATTGGTCTATAAAATATATATCTAGCCCTATATGCCCTATACATCTAAAGGCGTGGAAAAGGGTCCCTTACTTACTTTTATTATCGTGAATTAAAAAACGGAACATTCCTCTAATACTTTAAGACGTTAACCTGAAAACGAGTCGAACAGGTTAGTAGCCACTTGTAAATGGTAATAAATTCCAAACCATTGTCGCCAAAAAATAAACGAAACAATATACTTTTTTAATTTGAGAATTAAATAGCTACATTGACAATTCTCCTGAACATATTTCGGGCATAACAACTTTTCTAAACCTATAAAATTAAAAACTGTACTGATGTATTAAAAATAAATGCATGTTCTATTCTCTCGCTAGTTACAACATTTTTATGAAAAAGGGGCAAATTGCGTTGTTTGGAAGTATTGGTGGGACTGTTGGGGTAAACTTAAAATACGGGACAGTTTCGGTAAAAATGGGACATATGGTCACCCACACTTAAGGAAATATAATGCCTATATAATACTGGCTGCCTTTACCTCCAAAAACGTTATCTGTTGCACATTAAAGGCTGGCTTGACTTGGAAGCCTATGTCAATTATTTATATATCCACTTACATGGGGATTATACAGAACTCTAAATTATATTGTTCTTAGAAACAAGTTACGTTACTGTTATTCCTGAAAGGCAGGGGATCTGCTACCGCCCCCCCCCCCTATTTCCCCCCCCCCCCCACACTCACCACTCTCATAGGGCCCTGGGACCTAAATAGGGATATACTTGTCAATATTTTTCTTTCTTTGACAATTGGAGAACAATAGCCGGAGAGCCTGCATACATATAAGCCAAACGTGTCAAACGGATGTGCACACAAAAACCAAGTTCTGTATCAAGAACAAAGTCCAGAAGTGGACTTACAACCAATAATTTCTGCTGGAGTTTGCATCCGGTAAATGCAGATAAGAAGAAGAAGAAGAAGAAGAAGAAGAAGAAGAAGAAGAAGAAGAAGAAGAAGAAGAAGAAGAAGAAGAAGAAGAAGACGAAGAATAAGAAGAAAAAGAAGGAGGAGAAGAAGAAGAAGAGAAGAAGAAGAAGAAGAAGAAGAAGAAGAAGAAGAAGAAGAAGAAGAAGAAGAAGAAGAAGAAGAAGAAGAAAAACAAGAAAAAGAATGTTTTATTTCTTTGCTACTTTATCGTGTTTATTGTGTCTATGCTTCTTCTTTTGCGTGTGTTTTGTTACTTATTTCTGGGCATATTTTTGAGCGGATGGTGTTTTGTCTATGACTTTTTCCTTTGTTTATACATAATAATATCAAGCTTACATTATAATTTTTCTCTTATTTTTTTTTCTTTCTTTTCTAAATGTGTCTCAATAATGTTTTTATCCTTTTTTGGAGAATCGACTTTATGTCTTTTTTTTTTTTTTTTTTTTAATTTATAAATATTTGTTTGGCTTGGAAATAAAATATTGATAACTTTTGGGACGTATTTGATCAGTAAAATGAACCTCCTGTTTTTTATTTTTATTTTTTTAAATTATTTTTCCAACTCCATTTAAAATATTAATTTATAAATTCGTTGCTTCTGTCCGTTTTAACGGTTTAAACTTTAAAGAGACTTCGGTGTTTTTAATTCACAATTTGGAAACTTTATGTGGTCGTCTTCTTTGTCGCCTTTACAGGCAGTCAACTCCTGGGGAAAGTTCTGGGTGCTCATCAGTTTGTGGACATTGGACTTTTCCCTGAAAAAAAAAAAAAAACTAACGAAGGAAACAGCGCTAATTAGTCGACAGTAACGATATGCTTCTTTCTTTTAGGTTGTGGGGCGGGGGAGGGGGGGGGGGGGCTGTTATTTTTTCCCCAAAAATAAAGCCCCTGACACGCAACCGGCGATAGGTGTTCTTTCTTTTTTATTTCGTGCTACATCTTAGTTTAATTAAATAATCCACATAATAATAACATTAATAAAATAATAATAATAACTTTTTCTTCTTCTTCTCCTCCTCCTCCTCCTCCTCCTCCTCCTTCTTCTTCTTCTTCTTCTTCTTCTTCTTCTTCTTTCTTTTTCTTCTTCTTCTTCTCCTTCTTCTTCTTCTTCTTTTTCTTCTTCTTCTTCTTCTTCTTCTTCTTCTTCTTCTTCTTCTTCTTCTTCTTCTTCTTCTTCTTCTTCTTCTTCTTCTTCTTGTTCTTCTTCTTGTTCTTCTTCTTCTTCTTGTTCTTCTTCTTGTTCTTCTTCTTCTTCTTCTTCTTCTTCTTCTTCTTCTTCTTCTTCTTCTTCTTCTTCTTCTTCTTCTTCTTCTTCTTCTTCTTCTTCTTCTTTACCGGTTGTAAACTCTGGCGGAAAGCCTGGTTATTAGCCTATCTATTGACTTGTTCCAGAACTTAAGCGTTGCATACACATCTTTTTACAGATTTGGCGTATTTATATACAGCCTGTTGGTTTCTTGCCCCCCCCCCCCCCCCCCCCCCCGCTCACCCTGCCCCCCCCCCCCCAGTCCGATTTCAAAGGGTGTCTATATGTAGTGGATACCTACAGCTGGCTTGTTTGAAACCCTTTCGGCGTGTTCTTGTTTTTCCCCCACATTTGGGACTCGGAACCCACATATGGAATTTATGCATTAATTTCTGAAACTTCGTGCTTTAGATTTCAATCTTCCTATTATTATTATTATTTGTGAGTATCTTGGCTTATCAATGTAAATTTAAAACGTCAGTTTTTTTTGTTTCCCCCCCCCCCCCAAATTATCACTCAACTTCTCACTCGACTTGTCACTGAACCTCTCACTCGAATTGTCACTGAACCTCTCACTCGACTTGTCACTGAACCTCTCACTCGAATTGTCACTGAACCTCTCACTCGACTTGTCACTCAACTCAACTTCTCACTCAACTTCTCGAACAACTTCTCATACCTCTTCTACCTCATCATCATCTCACACCGCGTTTGACTTAACATTCCATTCACGTTCTGACTCCACTAACAATTGTTGTGTTCTGTTGCAGACACCCATTGTTTCCTCTGCTGGCTCTTATATTTGAGAAATGTGAGCTGGCAACATGTACACCCCGGGAACCTGGAGTTACCGGTGGCGACGTCTGTTCCTCTGATTCCTTTAACGAGGATATCTCAGTTTTCAGCAAACAAGTTTTAGTAAGTTCTCTGTTACGTTGTGTGTGGAAGTTCTCTGTTACGTTGTGTGTGGTTCAAGATCAGTTTTGTCTTTCAGAACACTGTCCGAGATCAAAGTTACTTTAAATTATTTTTTAGAACATTGTCTGTCACAAATATTGGTTACTTCAAACTCACTTTCAAAACATTGTCCCCCATATAAGTTAATTCAAACTCACTTTCAGAACATTGTCCCCCACATAAGTTAATTCAAACTCACTTTCAGAACATTGTCCCCCACATAGGTTAATTCAAACTCACTTTCAGAACATTGTCCCCCACATAAGTTAATTCAAACCCACTTTCAGAACATTGTCCCCCACATAAGTTAATTCAAACTCACTTTCAGAACATTGTCCCCCACATAGGTTAATTTAAACTCACTTTCAGAACATTGTCCCCCACATAAGTTAATTTAAACCCACTTTCAGAACATTGTCCCCCACATAAGTTAATTCAAACTCACTTTCAGAACATTGTCCCCCACATAAGTTAATTTAAACCCACTTTCAGAACATTGTCCCCCACATAAGTTAATTCAAACTCACTTTATTAACATTGTCTATCACAAGCAGTTGATTTAACTTCTCTTTCACAGTAGTCTGTCCCAAACATTAGTTTCACTAACCTCTGTTTATGAGCATTGTTGTGTGTCCTAGATATTATTGTCACTAACCTCTCTTTCAGAACATTGTCTGTCCCAGACATTAATTTCACTAAAATCTCTTTCAGAACATTGTCTTTCCAGACATAACTAACCTCTTTCAGAACATTGTCTGTCCCAGACATTAATTTCACTAACCTCTCTTTCAGAACATTGTCTGTCCCAGACATTAATTTCACTAACCTCTCTTTCAAAACATTGCCTGTCCCAGACATTAATTTCACTAACCTCTCTTTCAGAACATTGTCTGTCCCAGACATTAATTTCACTAACCTCTCTTTCAGAACATTGTCTGTCGTGGACATTAATTTCACTAACCTCTCTTTCAGAATATTGTCTGTCCCAGACATTAATTTCACTAACCTCTCTTTCAGAACATTGTCTGTCCCAGACATTAATTTCACTAACCTCTCTTTCAGAACATTGTCTGTCCCAGACATTATTTTCATTAACTTCTCTTTCAGAATATTGTCTCTCTCAAAAAAACACGCTTACCTCTTGTTCTTTTCTCTGTTGTTGTGTCCCTACTTCCCCTATCAGCACCAACCCCTCTCCCTTTTTTCATCTCTTCTTCCTCTTCTTCTTCTTTTCTTCTTCTTCTTCTTCTTCTTCTTCTTCTTCTTCTTCTTCTTCTTCTTCTTTTCTTCTTCTTCTTCTTCTTCTTCTTCTTCTTCTTCTTCTTTTTCTTCTTCTTAAATGTCTTATTATCATCTGTGGACTTGACAGTGTCCCTCAACAAGCATGTCATATAGGACCACTACATTAGGGTTTGATGAGATTAGATGTTAGGCTGAACAACACTGATATCGCAGCCTATCTGTAAACCATAAGAAAACCGTTGACGATGAAGAATAAGAGAAAAAAAGAAGAAAGGAAATACAGAAAGAAGGAAAAGAAGAAGAAGAAAGAGAGAAGAATAAGAAGAAAAGAAAGAAGAAGAAGAAAGAAGAAGAAGAAGAAGAAGATAAGGAAAATAGAAGAGAAGAAGAAGAAATAGAAGAAGAAGAAGAAGAAGAAGAAGAAGAAGAAGAAAAGAGAAAGAAGAAGAAGACTAAGAAGAAAGAAGGAAGAAGAAGAAGAAGAAGAAGAAGAAGAAGAAGAAGAAGAAGAAATAGAAGAAGAGAAGAAGAGAAGAAGAAGAAGAAGAAATAGAAGAAGAAGAAGAAGAAGAAGAAGAAGAAGAAGAAGAAGAAGAAGAAGAAGAAGAAGAAGAAGAAGAAGAAGAAGAAGAAGAAGAAGAAGAAGAAGAAGAAGAAGAAGAAGAAGAAGAAGAAGTTATTTCCTCTGTCGTCATAGAAATCCATCCAGTTATTTTCAACCTTCTAAATTTAGAAGAATCCAAACATTAACTCGACCCAGCTGTAACTCCGGGCTGACAATATCGATTTCACAAGCTATACATTATTTATTTTCTCCATAATCAATTGCATCAACGTTTCTTTCAATTCCTGAGGCAAATTCAAACCCTTAGTATTTGTTTCTGTATTTTTATAATCGATTTGTAAATTATGGTGGACTGTAACGATTGTTGGGAATAATGTAGATTATCTTTTTTATAATAATGTTCATAATGCATTGAACATTGTTGATGATCTATTTTGTAATAATCCTAAAGTGTGTAAAAATGGTTCTGTGACGATTACACAATTGTAGATAATCTATTGTGTAAAGATTGTATTGTGTTTAGAAAATAGCAGATTATCTCTGCAATGAATGTGTTTGTATCTGGAATATTTTAGATTGTCCATTAGGGAGTTTTGGAGGTGTTTGTCACTAAATGTAGGTGAACTATTTTGTAACAAGTATAACGGTGTAAAGAAGGTAGATTTTCTACGGCAAATTTGTGAACTGAAAGTTGTAGATATCTAGACACTGGTTGATTAGTCGGTGCCGAACTTTGTAGATTATTCACACATTGATATCATGATTGTGTAGAACGTTGTAGAATATCTACACAATGGTTTCGTGGATTGCAGAACGTTGTAGATTATCTACACAGTGATTTTTTGGGTGCGTAGAACATTGTAGACTATCTTGCGTAATGATTTCACGAATGTAGAATGTTGTAGATTATCATACACAATGATTTAGTGTGTGTGTAGCACACCGTTGATTATCTACACCATGTTTGTGTGTGTGTGAAGAACGTTGTAGATAGTCACGCAATGTTTTCTTGTGTGTAAAGAAAGTTGTAGATGGTCACGCAATGTTTTCTTGTATGTAAAGAAAGTTGTAGATAGTCACGCAAAGTTTTCTTGTGTGTAAAGAAAGTTGTAGATAGTCACGCAATGTTTTCTTGTGTGTAAAGAAAGTTGTAGATAGTCACGCAATGTTTTCTTGTGTGTGAAGAACGTTGTAGATAGTCACGCAATGTTTTCTTGTGTGTGAAGAACGTTGTAGATAGTCACGCAATGTTTTCTTGTGTGTGAAGAACGTTGTAGATAGTCACTCAATGTTTTCTTGTGTGTGAAGAACGTTGTAGATAGTCACGCAATGTTTTCTTGTGTGTGAAGAACGTTGTAGATAGTCACGCAATGTTTTCTTGTGTGTGAAGAACGTTGTAGATAGTCACGCAATGTTTTCTTGTGTGTAAAGAAAGTTGTAGATAGTCACGCAATGTTTAGAACGTTGTAGATAGTCACGCAATGATATCTTGTGTGTGAAGAAAGTTGTAGATAGTCACGCAATGTTTTCTTGTGTGCAAAGAACGTTGTAGATAGTCACGCAATGTTTTCTTGTGTGCGAAGAACGTTGTAGATAGTCACGCAATGATATCTTGTGTGTGTGAAGAACACTGTAGATTATCTACACAATGATTTCGTGTGTGTGAAGAACACTGTAGATTATCTACACAGTGAATTCGTGTGTGTAAAGAACACGGTTGATTATCTACACAGTGATGTGTGTGAATAACGTTGTAGATTGTCACGCAATGAATTCGTGTGTGTGAAGAACATTGTAGGTTATCTATAGAATTATTTTGTGGGCGTGCTAAACATTGTAGATTGTCTACACAATTATTTTGTTGGTGTGTTGAACAGTTTAGGTTACCCACACGGTGATTTTGTAGGTGTGCATAACGTTGTAGATTATCTACACAATAATTTCGCGTGTGTTTATGCAGAACATTTTAGGTTATCTACAAATCTACACAATGATTACACTGGTGTGCAGAGCCTTGTAGATTATCTACACAATGATTCTCTACATCTGTTTTCTTTTCTAAGATTTTAATCGTGTTTTTTTTTTCGGCATTTATTTACTTATTAATTATTCATTTATCTAATATTTATTTATTTGTTCTATTTAAAGCCTTCCATGTAAAACATTATATTTTTTCCTCTTTCTCGAATCGTAGTCTATGGGCCAGCCATTGCACACTATAGAACGCCCGCATAATGAATATCATATAACATTTGCAGTTATAAAACACAACAATTAATAAGCCTCGCTAATATATATATATATATATATATATATATATATATATATATATATATATATATATATATATATATATATACAGCGCAAACTGTGACTACTGGGTTTTCTCGCAAAAAAATACCATGAATTCTATTAAACTTTGTTTTCAAAATTGAACTAGGGATTTTTTTTCCCCAGAGGATTCTATTTTTAAAGCCAAAATTAGCGCCATATAACCTTCACAGTCGGCTCTGTGGCTAAGTCGATGCGAACGCTTCGTAATGCCGGGATGCCGGGTTCAATCCCAGCTGCTGGCCATGCGCCTTGCGTTGGTTTTGACAGTGGTATCACGAGAGTTGACCGTCCAGTAGCAATGGCAAACTACTGGACGTAAATTTGCCTAGAAAAACCACACAACAGCCAGGAGCTGTTGAGGTTGGTTCCATAACGTCCTGTAAAGGATACGCAACTAACCAGAACCCTCACAACAGAATTCATATTCTTAAACATCAGTTAATAATTATACTTGTTATTACTAATTCGCATTCTAGCTCCACTATGGGCTGTGAGCTGGCAATGAAAACACTGTTGATTTTGAGGTTATCAAAACATGTGCCTACTTGGTTGTCTGGTGCCAGGCTGAATAATAAAAACATATCTTCGACCTTGTCCGCCGTGTGTTGCTACTGAAAACAAACTCTGCGAATCAGCCAAAAGACGACTCAAAGGTGCAGACGATAGACATGACAACGATAATGGGATTTCCCTCCACCTGTAGGGTCATAAGTATAATGTATTTATGGTATGTTTCAAAACTATTAGCATTATTACAGCTTTATGTTCCCGAGGGAGAATATAGTTGCAGCAGTATATATGTAATTTGTTTTCGTTTTAA